CCATCGCTAAAGTTGTAGGCCAGAAACCTTGACGGCGCGCAATCTCGAGTCAGGAGTGTGGCATCACCCCTCTGAGCGCATTCCTGGAAATATTAGTGATGGAAAGGCCTTCTATGGTCACCTAATCCTGACTCGTGGCTTTAAATGACTTGAGCCGGAAAAAAATCTCAAAAAGCTATTAAAAGTTCGATCATTTCGCGATAAAGCCTGCTTGCTTCTTTAATTGAGCATTTGAAAATTGGGCCGAAAACAATCGTGGGTGCCAAAACTCGTACACGTGCTACGACCGCACGCATGAGAATAGTCGCACGCCTCGCCCCGCCCATTCTCATGACACGGGTGTAAGTCAGAAGGATTTTTTCGGGTTGTTCTAACAACTCGGGGCGCTACACTAAAGCATGGGCGCGCTAGGTGATAACGTGAGCTTTCGTAAAACCATTAATCATGTCAAGACACATGTCAATGCAATGAATGTGGAGACCTTTAGAAATGTGAGATACCAACTATTTTTCTAGGTGCTAACTTAGTTGGGGGGGGGGGGAGACCACGCGGCGCGGCGCTCTGTTCGTTTGCTCCTCCAAGGGCTTAGTCTCAAGGGCTGTTACTATTTCGTCGCCACATGGTAGTTTCGAAATACGCTGTGGTCCCCCCCCCAACTAACAATATTAGCACCTTTTTGTTGAGCCAAAGGTTTTCTGCAAACCCCCAGGCGTTCCGTTGTTCCGTTTTGAGGCCAGCTAATGACTAACCCCTTGGTTCGAATAGGGAATGACAGTTGCCACATTGTGATTCATCTCCTCGGCCATAAACAGAAAGTGTCGAAGATATCAAAAACACGACCGTCTCTTCCTCCAAGAATACGACTTGCCTGCCAACCTTTTGTCCCCCGCTGGGCATTGGGAGGAGCAGTTCCGGTTCGGGAGATTACCTCGGGGTTCCCACGGGTTCCCACTGACCTTCAACTTTGATGAATGATCTCTGTGGGCGATTCAGCCAGGCTCTTCACATCGCCAATGACAGCACGCACATGGTGATCGACGGTGCGTCTGCTAAGGCGCGGCGCTCTCGCCGTCTGCGCCCTCGCCGCTGCCCTGCGTCTCTGCCTGCCACCTACCTGGCTGACTGCTTTGACTCTCGGCTTGTCGTCGTCGTCGGCCAGCGGCCACTTTACTAATTGCGTGATCCCTTTTGTTCTCCTTCCTTTATCGTCTCGAGCCCACCTCTGAGGCTTTCGCTTACGATTTCTGAAATTCCCTGCAGGAAACAGTAGTTCTCGAACACGGGAACAGTTGTATAATGGATGAGATTTTCTCACGAAAATGTGCTTGATTCCATTCGACGGCATGCCAATGTCGATTTGTGTGCAAAACGCTGCTTCCGGTTATTACTGCACTGTCAGCACGCCTAGAGACACTTTACGAGGAGCTTCTAAGTGGCTTGAGATTGGAATTTCAACGAAATTGAGGTTCCTTTTTGCCCATTATGCCACGCTCTCTGGATAGGGATTGAAGCATTGAGTTCGCTGATCTTGTGGGTATCAGCCTTGCTTCGTCGAACTGAGGTCAGTCTTAACGTGGAATGAGAATATTACCATTTTTCCGGATGTCCCTCTGAAATGACTCTCGTTTTTGTCCATGGAGCGTGTTCCGTGTCGTTAACGCTGTCCTTCCCCATTTCGGCGTCATACCTTGTAATGGAAAAACTTAAAAGTGCTCCCTAGATAGAGTTGCTCTAATTACATATGCGCTTCAGTCGCTGGAACACCGTAGTGCAAAGTACTTCCCAATTTCAAGGAAAATTGCTGGGGTGTTTGGGCCAGCGGGAGGCAGCACTGCCACGCAGCTTAGGACTCATGGT